GACAAAAGGCAGTAAGAGATTAATTAATTAATTAATTAATTAATTAAGGAGGCGGGTTACTTTATAATATAGGAAAGCAAGCACGCTACAAAAGTAATAACGTTGTGTTTGGTTAATAATAATTAGTACAAACTTTAATGAGTTTTTTGATTAGTCAAAATCAAATCAGATTTACGTACCCCAAACACGCATTATTCCTCTGCTTAACGTTACCCCCTACACAAAATATATTTTTCATTAGTATATATTAACCCATGAATTTTTTACTTGTGTTCTATACAGTAATGCTGGTTTTTAAAGAGATACTGTTGAATCTAACGTATAAAATAATGTTTTTCTTACCAATAAATTGATTCCTTGAAATTAGTAGGTACTTCCATTATTGATGTTGTTAATTATATTTTTCAAAAACTATATGAATATATATATATATATATGTATATATATATATTTACAGAGAAGCTTGGGGAAATGGAATCCAGCTAATCTCCAGGTCCCCGAACAGCTGGATTTATTTGCTGGTGTATCCAGTGAAGGTGGTAAAAATAAACCTACAAAACACAAATATATACGTACATATATATAGGATACACACTGTGTGTGTGTGTACATAAAAGAAGGGGAAGGAAGATAGCGGAGGAGGTTGTCAGCTTATTATACCTTCCAAATGGGTGACACTGCCCTTGTCTGCTCCTCCATTGTTTGATTCTACTGCTCTGTTTCACTTCCTGTTATTTCAGCTCCATCTACTTTTCTATTTATAAATAAATAAATTTTTATCAATTAATAATAAAGAAATATAAAAATAGAATTTAACATCGGGCACGTGCCGAAAATGGGGGGAAATTTTTTTAATGCTTTTTAACTTGCGCGGTGCGAGGTCAAGTCAACTGAACCAACCGACTACGAAATCGTACGGTCACGACAATTTAATAACTGACTTGACAAATAACAATTGTACGGTCCAGATCAATCACAGGTCACGAGATTTTGAATTGTTTTTCGCGATAATTTCTGGTTTCATTCTTTTTTCATAAATGAGCTTCGATGGAAGCGGCAAAACGTGGCGTCAGGCTTGAATAAATACCACTTTTTTGTCTTTAATTTTTTAATTTAAAATTCCATATTTTTTTACTACTCATAAATAAAATAAATCGGCCGCGTTGTTAAAATTAAATTAGTAATTGATTAATTTCAAAAATAAATATTTACTTCTTGAGGGGAACAAAAAAAAAAAAAAAAAAAAGTATTATTTACTCTTTGCCCAATATTACTTGATACAGCTGTCGGTTTTACCACGATAAAATAAATAAAAAAGAAAAAGAAAATCTACGGTGCAGTGCAGCAGACAGAGTGCAGTGGCAGAGCTGTAGTAAGTTAAGTTGTTATTATTATTTATTATTTAATTTAATCGGGGTTAATACAGTTGGAAAATAGCGAGAGACAGCTGGCAGTGCAGGGGGATACGAGGGAGGAGACGCAGGAAGCGTCGCCGTTTTATCTAATTTTGGTATTTAAGAAATGCGTTTGGCAACATCAACCTCCTCCGCCTTTTCAACATATTTTAAAATATAAGTGGACCAGAAGAATCAGAAACCAAGGTAACGCTCTCTCTCTTTGCCCACTTGCCATACTGCTTTTTACCATTCTGCCCTTATATTTTTCTCATATTCCACATTACTCCCTTCTCTTTTTCCCCTTGATTTCGGGCGGGGATTGCTGTCTGCCTCGTTTTGGTTACGGGCGTCCCTTTTGACAAATTCGTTTCCGTTGGCTTCTATATATACATATACATATTTATATTTATACATATATATATATATATACGTATATGTTTTATGCATAGCTACCATCTTTCTCTGGTTTAACCAACCACTAACAGTGATATATATATGTGTTATTTTTTTATTGTGGGAGTAAGATAATTTTGTTACTTACAATAATAATACTATCTCACATATTTAAGTTGTTTATAAATAATTGTATTAAATATAAAATCATATTTTAAATTAATACATACAATTTTTCTACTAAATATATTTGTCTAACAATACATATATATATATTGTTCATCATTTCTCGTTGAATTACTCAATTATTGCAAACACCCTTCAATGTATTAACTTACATGTTCCATAACTGAAAGAGTATAAAAGTCGACGTTGAAAACAATGTTATCTGAATAAGAAAACCAACCGAAATAAAAAACATAGTTGAGGAATGCAAAATATTAGTAAACGAAAATTAATGTCACTCGAGTCCACCGATAATGCAACAAGTTGTCCACTATTTTATACGTACGATCTATACTTATTTAAGTTATTTATGTTTATGATGGGTTCAGTTAATGATAAAAACACTGTTATCTGAATAAGAAAACCAATCGAAATAGAAAAATATAGTCGAATAATGTAAAATATTAATGAACAAAAATTACTGTTACTCGGATTCACCGATAATGTAACAAGTTATATACCATTTCGTACGTACGATCTATGCTTATTTAAGTTTTTATGTTTACGATAGTTTACCGTCCACTATAATTGTAATTCTTAATTAAAAATAATTAAGTTAATTTTTTTTAATAAAAAAAAACGTGTGTTTTGAAAATTAAAAAATTTGTATTAAAGTTGGTAATATACAGCAAATGATTAAAATTATTTTTAACACGAATTTTAATTTAAATATATTAAATCATTAACTTAGCATATAATAGTTTTACCAATCAATAATTTATTCGTACAATATTTAATTAATATTGGTCGTAAAAATCAATACGGTTGAATTAATTGTAAATTATTTATTACTCAAATATAATATTTATAAAATTAATTCGGTTAACAGACAAAAAAAAAGCTGTAATACATAAATATTTTTAAATATTTGATTATTAAATACGGTGTATATTATTTTCTCTCAATAAACAATGCACTTGTACGTAATTATTGGTTATGTCTTGAAAGGCATCGAGTAAATTGTCCCCTGAAAACAAAACATGTACATTTATACTCTGCCTTACCCACGTAAATAATGCAAGCTACTTCTCAAGCTTGTCATTTGCTTTATTCTACGTACACATACTCAAACACGTATATATAATTACGTTTATACACCTTAATACGAGTGCTCTCTTATTCCGATTTATTTATAACTTATAGTATCATATTCTTTACTCGTGTAAGAATGGAGTGATAAAAATTTTAAGAATTCAATAAAAAATTACGGTTTAAATTTATTAATTACCCGTACGATCCATTGATTATAATAATTAAAATAGTAAATTAATTAATTCAATTAGCGATATTACTTATTGTTGTTGTATTTAAATAACATTTGAATTTAAATAAAATTTAATCTTAAATATACGATCGTATTGAAAATTTTATAATTAAAAATAATCTAAATTTTAATTACTTAAAAAATACATATAGTTTATTGGATTATATAAATTATTATAAATGCATTTTCATATTTCATCATTTTTTCACGTGTCCAAATACAAAGCATTGACTTAATACCTATACGTACACACACACACATACATATATATATATATATAAAATATATAATTTAATGGAGCTTAGCGCATAAGTCACCATCACAAACATTAATCAAAATTGAAAATTAAATTATTGTATTGTTTAAATTCATATTGAATTCAAATAAGAATTTGGTAATCAATTGGTCAAAGACAATCAAAGTTCACGTTAAGGCAACAGGCTTTTGCATAAAGGCAATAATCCAATTAACCCCTATTATTTTTCTTTTGCATATTTACTTTATTTGCATTTAATAACAAATAATTACTGTAAATACTACTTTAAATTAAAGAAAAAATTACAGTAAATACTACTTTAAATTTTAATAATTTAATTTTATTACATTTTTTTTAAAATAAATATAAGATTCGAACTCAAATCACAATGTATAATAAAATTATCATATGATCTAAACTATATGTTATCAATTTATGCAATTTAATTTTTAAAGAATACGTAGATCGTTCAGACATAAATACGTGAAATTATAACATTAACAATTTTTTTTTAAAAAAATTATTAATTTTACTATTGTATAACATTATAGCCAGTGGTATTAATTGTCAAAATTAAATGATATATATTTTTTAATAATTAGTTTTTGAATATTTATAAATTATTTTTTACTATTTACTCCTCCTTAAATGTTATTAAATACAAGAAAATAATTGTAGCCACGACAATGGATATAAAAACTCTTTTATATTATTCATTATTATTAAATGTAATTAAATATCAAAATAATTACTGTTTATATTTATATAATAAACTTAAATTTTGAATGAAAATTTATAATTTTTATTAATTAAATACACGGGCAAATTATAAAATAATTTTATAATCTGATTCAAATCTATAAATTTATATAAAAAAGAGAAAATTATCAACGAAAATATGACTCTAGTTTATTTTATTTTATTTTTATAAATATTTAAAAAATAATTTTTTATAAGAATAATTTAATAAAAAATAAAAAATATTGTTTTAAAAATAGGAAAATGGCAATAAATTAATTGATTGACGAAAAACCAGAGGCGGACCACAAAGTCAAAATTCTAAACGGTAAGAAAAATCAAACTAAGATGATCTTCTTAACAAATCTGTCATTTTCTTAATTTTCGAGGGGCAAAATCGTCATTTCATGACACTTCCCCCTCCCCCTCAGCATCAGAACCTTTTTAACACTACTGAATGCTAGCGCAACCTTCCTTCCTCCGCTTTATCTCTCTCCCTCTCTTTTAAAATCCCTTCTCTCCAGAAAGGAAAACAGAAAAATCAACTCTGTCAAGCATTTCGTCGAACGGGTCATCTTCAGAGAATCCTGTGAATTTTAATTTAACTTCCCTGCCGATTTTCGCCGGAAAATATCACCGGCCACCGTTTTGTTAACTATTGGTGGGAGATTTTGATTATGAAAAAGCGGTTTTTGACGCGAGAACGGTGGTTTGTTTTGTGGGTTTTGGTATTTTCTTATGTACAAGAAGATAAGAGAGGCGTGCATGGTGAAACGGCGGCGTTTCCGCGGTTTGTTTGATCGGAGATGTCTACGTGAGGAAACGGTGTTGTGGTTAGTTTTATTCGACCGTGCAACCGTTGGGGACGCGTAGATAGAGAAATCGATAAGGATAGGTAGATATCTGTGTATATAGAGATTAGATATTGAGGGAGATGGGGAAGTTGGCGTTGGGTGTGGCGGTGGGAGTCGCGGTGGCGGCCTGTTCTGTGGCGGCAGTGGTGGTGGGAAGAAGGGTGAGGAGCAGGAGGAAGTGGAAGAGGGTGGTTGGGGTGTTGAGGGAATTGGAGGAGGCATGTGAGACCCCTGTGGCGCGGCTAAGGCAGATTGTTGACGCGATGGCGGTGGAGATGCATGCTGGTTTGGCATCTGAAGGAGGGTCCAAGCTCAGAATGTTGCTCACTTTTGTTGATAAACTACCAAACGGGTATCGTTTCAAATCTGAATGTTAATATTTTTTCTGGGAATAAGTCATGTTTTTCTTCCCCTCGTTTGATTTTTTTGGTTTTTTGTCTACATTATCTTTCATGGGTTAATCGAATATTATACGACGGTGGATGCAGATTTTTGGTTAATGCAGTCATGGGTTCCCATTTTTTAGTAATGACTAATGTGGCTTGTTGGTTTTGATCGTTGGTGGCTTTTAAATAATATGTGAAATCTCAAAATGCTCATTAGATTGAGTGGCTACCCGGTCTCTTTAACGGGAATGCGTTATGAACGTTTTGGTCATGGTGGTTGCATTTGTTGATTTGAATGGATTTTGTTCCAATTTCAAATGGGTGACTACTAGGCATTTGTTTAGTCTCAAAGCTGAATAGAATGGTAGCCAATTAAAATGATGTTTGCTAGTTGTTTCACTCCTTTTTATGGGTTTAAGAATTTGTGCAAGTGTCATTTGATTTGAGTTTTGATGTCTTATACTCCTCAGTTTATTCTTATGTTGTTTATTAATGTTAGACATTGATTTATTTTTTTGCTACTATACTTGACTATCTTTCTTATCAGGAGTGAGAGAGGAACTTATTATGCTCTAGATCTTGGGGGTACAAATTTTAGGGTGTTACGGGTTAAGCTAGGAGGTCAAAGGTCCTCTATCTTGGCTCAAGATGTGGACACAAAACCTATTCCCGAACATTTGATGACTGGCACAAGTGAGGTAGCAAGTTCTTATATCCTGATCTTTTTTAAATTTTTTTTTCAGCTCACCTTCACAATGTTGTTCTCTACAGACTCATAGAATGTGCTTCATTGTATGCAGGAGCTCTTTGATTTTTTAGCTTCATCACTACAGCAGTTTGTCGAAGCAGAAGGAAATGGTTCTGAGCCTTCTCATGTTAGAAGAAGGCAACTTGGATTTACATTCTCCTTTCCAGTGAAACAAACATCTATTTCATCTGGGATTTTATTGAAATGGACGAAAGGGTTTGCAATTGAAGAAACTGTTAGTCCAATATTCTAATTTTTTATGCACTAAGTGATTCAATACTGAATTAGAAACTGTCTATATTTGTCAGGGTTGTATTGTTCGCTCTTGATGCTTAAATTTCTAGCTATTTTCTGCATGAACAAACATGCATGATATAATTTTATAAACTATAGCTATATGAAATAGTCGGTCCGGGTCTATGTTTTGAAGGGATTATAAAAATATTGTAGGTTGGAAAAGATGTTGCTGAATGTCTGCAGCAGGCATTGGACAGGAAAGGCGTAGATATGCAAATTGCAGTGTTAGTAAGTGCATCATCTTCTGTAACCAGCATTGGTTCTTGATTTCTCATTATCAAGTTGAAACGATTTCTATCTCATTAATTATATTTCTGTTACACATAGGAAAAAAAAAAAAAAACTCCCATACCTTTTTGAGGGTATATTAAGCAATTGATTTAGTAAATATAACAGTGAGAATTGCAGCCATTTCGACTTTAAAAGAATCTGTAATATCTGGATTGACTTTTAATACTTGTATGGCAAGCTTTCTCACACTGTAACAGGAGATGTGACAGTTCTGGTGCTTATATTGTTTAGCAACAGATATGTGAGAGAGATAACAGTTTTAGTGGTATTAGTGCTCTGTCAAGCTAATTTTTTTTATTAGCTTGCTGCTTCAGACTTTATTGATGTAGCATTTTTCCCAAGAACTTCATGTTGATATGTTTTTACTTGATTACCTTCTAAAAAAAATTCATACAACACGTAATGAGGTGAAGATGTTTATTATTACTGAGGATTCATGTTCCCTCTTATGCTCCTCAGTTTTTGGTTCTTTCTTTCAATAAAGTGAAGCATGCTTCTTCCTTTATGGGAGCTAGTGATGCTATATAGTTGAAGAATTTATTTTATCCTGCTAAATAGATGGTGGTATTTGTTCGAATGATACGATGATTAGATGAACTAAGAAACAGCAGTCAATTTTATGACGTATTCTTTTTTTTTAATTATTGTCAACTTAGGGTGTTTGAGCCCATGTTATCAGGTTATGTAGGATCTAAATTACTAAATATAGGAAAAGTGACGATTCCTTCAGTGACATCCATATATGCAGCATGTGTTATAAATTACATAACATATTTAATTAAATTGCTTGGTATAATTAAGGCGTTAAATTTCTCCCTTTCTTTGTTGTAAACAGGTTAATGATACAGTAGGAACACTAGCTCTTGGACATTATCATGATGAAGACACAGTTGCCGCAGTGATTATTGGAACTGGTAGTAATGCCTGCTATTTGGAGAGAACAGATGCAATTATTAAGTGTCAAGGACTACTTACTTCATCTGGATTCATGGTACCCTGTCGTCTTTGTTACAGTTTCATGTTTTTGCCTAAGAGAAGAATACATCTATAATTTGCTTGCTTGCGTAAAACTTCTTTAATTTTTTTTTCATGATCAGGTTGTCAACATGGAATGGGGAAATTTTTGGTCATCTCATCTGCCAAGAACATCATATGACATTGATTTAGATGCAGAAAGTCCTAATCCTAATGATATGGTAATTTTCAGCTGGTTCTTTCTTTTATTGGTGACACTGAGAAATTGCCTTGGATTTATTTGGGATTTTGTTACAGGGGTTTGAAAAAATGGTATCTGGAATGTATTTGGGTGAACTTGTCAGGAGAGTGATTCTTAGGATGGCAGAAGAGTCAGAAATCTTTGGACCTGTTTCATCCAAGTTATTAATGCCTTTTGTTTTGAGGTATGTGCTGCCAATACTGGAATTAAATCTCTCTTTATATATATTTTGTATATCTATTATATACATATATGTATATATATACTGCTGAGCGCAAGCAAGCATTCCCTGCATGTTTCCAATGTTCTTCTCCTTAAAGTTATCTAATTTTGCTACTTCGAGGAACCATGGACATGGTTGATACATAATGTGTTGTTCTCATTCATAGCTGTTGCTTCTTTTCCCCCAAGGCCAAATCATTACTTTTTATGTTTTTGCTTCTTTCTGTGCTTGGAGTTCACAGAATTGGCTGTTCTAATTCGGTCTACAATAATGAGCTCATGGAATCTCCAATAGCACAGATTCATATTTATCGGAGTCACTTAGTATTAGTTGTAACTATTCAAGATACTTATTTCTGTTTCTAATGATTCTAGGACACCTTCAATGGCTGCCATGCATGAGGATGATTCCTCTGATTTATCAGTCGTCGCAAAAATCTTAAAAGATATTTTAGAGGTATGAATCACTTGTATATTATACAGTTATTTCTGTCTTTTCAGAATCGTTTAGCTCCCTTACTGTGTATGTTTGATGATATCTTCTCAGATGCCAGATGTCCCCTTAAAGGCCAGGAAACTGGTTGTTAAGTTATGTGATGTGGTTACTCGAAGGGCTGCCAGATTGGCTGCTGCCGGAGTTGCAGGAATCTTGAAGAAGGTAGGCCGGGATGGTAGTGGTGGCATTACGGCCGGAAGAAGTAGGAGTGATACAAAGATGAGAAGAACGGTTGTCGCGATTGAGGGGGGTTTGTATAAGAGTTACAAAGTATTCCGGGAATACTTGCATGAAGCCTTGATTGAAATCTTAGGGGAAGATGTTGCACAACATATCAGTCTAAAGGCAACACGAGATGGATCAGGCATTGGTGCGGCACTGCTTGCTGCCTCACGTTCAGCTTATACTGTGGATAAGGTACAGATATAAGTATATATATGTTATTTATATACACATATATAGCCCCCTTCCCCCCCCCCCCCCACTGTAAATGCAGAATCCAGTTCCAACATATATATATATATATATCCCATTTGGGTAAAAGGATAGATATGTGAAAAGGGTCTTTCTCATATTTCTTTCCAAAGTTTCCTTCAAATGTATTTTTATGATTAATTTCTCTCTTTTGTTCCAGTTCGTTGTATATGGCTGACGAGAATGTTCTGTTAAAAAAAAAAAAAAAAAAAATTGATAAGGAGAATGTGGAAAGGATTCAATATTTGTTTACTATGAGAAATAGAAGTTTCATGTTATTCTCTAAATTGGGTTTGGATCTATCTTTTTTTTAGCCTTTTGTTTTTAATTATGAATATATTATTTATTTACTTGTCTCATTTGCAGTGGAGTTAAAATTTAAATTTAAATTATTAGATGCCATTAGAAATTGATAAGGAGAATCTAAATGGCTGCTAAAACCTAAAAGTGAGCAACTGATAGCATTACACCATTTGCTGCAACCTACAAACTCTACTCTTTCCTTCTCCAATCATATAGCAAATCTTCACCATAAACCATCTCCAGGTACAAATAGTATACTTTTGTTGGGAGCAGCAAACAAGAGTTTAACCTATTTTAGGCGTTGCATAGTTAATACTAAACACTCTGTTTGAATCATAGTGAATGATAAAATTTTAATATATGATGTTTTACGAAGTTAAGAAACTTTTAATGGTAGCAAACGGTATTTTATCGATAAATTTTAAAAATACTGAATCGCTATTATATCACTGACATGTTATTTATTTTTTTTATACTCTAATATAATATATTTAATTTTATTTTTATTTTTATAAATTATTATTTATTTTATTAAATATGTTGTAAATACTGTATGTTGTAAATAATTTATTTATTTTTATTACATATTTCTTATATACCATAGATAAGAATAAATTAATAATTTAACTGAAAATACAACCATAAGATCTTATTATCAAAATTATAATATGTTATTAACATACATTAATATACAATCATCTAAATATAAAAAATTTATCCAAAGAAAGCGTAAGGGACAAAAACCATGATATTATGATTGCCTAATATATACACATTTCAAACCTTTAAATGTAAAAGGATCATACCTAAAATAAACCAAGTTTCATCATCCAGTCTTCAGGATTAAACAAAATTCAATATAAATTTTCAATGAATAATTACCATTTGAAGTAACCCTACAACATTTGATGCCAAATATTGCGAATTTTCTCACAAAGGTGATAGCATTTTGTTCTTTCTTCTTTTTGGAAGTATAGAGCATTTTCTTTGTTATCCAAAACAGATAATAGACTGTTACTATAGTAATCATATCTTCTTCAGTGCTTCATCATCATGAAGGTCATCGTACGAAACGGGTAGCCTCATCCTATCCTGAACTGATTTACGCTCGCCTTCAGCATTTGAAGATTGAGGTTCACTATGAGGTATGAGCTCGGAATCATCCAGGGTACTGCCTGGGACTTCATCAATGACCCCATTTCCATTCACTTGGGAGGAAACTTCTTTCGTCTGCGCTGAAGTTTGCCTAATATTTTGCTGCCTAAATTGCTTCTGCACAATGTTGAGATGGACAGATTATGAAAGCAGAAACATAAAATAAGATGAAACAGGGAAGAAACCCCAACTGGAATGGATCTCAAAATTGCCATTCCTTAAGAAAATCTGATGTATAACAAATTAGAAATAATTTGCTTACTAATAAATTGGGAAAAAAAACTAGATATCACGTCTAGATTTCTTATGCATTAAGTGTTGATTGAGTCACAATCAATAATGAGAATTCTCAAAGATATTATTGAATACTTAAATGAATAATAAGTGAGATTACAAAACTATTTATAATAATATTTTTATCATTAGAATTAAACTAGAAAATGGTAACCTAATAGAATATAAGACTACTAATTCTAATACAACTAGAAAATGATATTGACAAGAATAAAGCTCCTAACTCTAATAAGACTCTTAAATAATAAACTGAAAACAGATCCAGCAATAAATAAATTCCTATTATGACTATGTGCCATCAAAATCAAATCATCAAGGTTGCATGTGCACCTCACAAAATTTCTCCCGTGCTTAAATGAATAGAAGGATAAAGTACAGTTCCATTCAAAGTGTGTTTGGTCTTTAAAACTCTAGCTGCTTTTTCTCTTTCTCCGTGACAGTTCGACATCCTATGGTTTGGTCTTTTGTCAGTTCACATGATTTTTTTTGTATTTTACGAGATATTTACATGTGCCTGACTTATAACAAGTTAAGATACTAAAAAAATCAAATTTAGTCTTTTTTTTTAAAAAAAAAGAATGAAAAAACAAATGACTTAATGTAAAATGATTTTTTGTTTTTTTTTAAAAAAGCGAGAATAAATCAAAATGTCATAGAAAAAGCTGCATGTTTCAACTGTAACAAATCCAATTACAAATGAGTA